CCCCCCCCCCTATTCTTTCAAAACGGTGATTTATTTGCATCTACCTCACTTCCTAGAGACTTTGAGCAGTCACAGTCGCATCAGAACCCATTTCCAATGGGAACAAGGCACATCTAAAGCGATCAGTAAGTCGCTTCCAGTCATAGTGGGAACAAGCCCTTGGTGAAATGTTCTTGAATTTGGGAGGAGGATGCAGCCTTCCGAGGCGAATTTGGGGTCAATGCAGCCCCTGAAAGTATGTGAATTGTCCAGCAGAGCCCAGCTCAGCTCTAGCCACTACACCACACCATACAAGCTCATCCGGGATAAGCCCCCTTGGGTCCCATGTCCACAGATTATAATAAATAAATAAATAAAATCAAAAGGAAAACGCCAGCATAATAATGGGGCACTTGAGGCTGGATATTATAGACCAATGAGACAGGGTTTAAATCCCTGCTAAGACATTAAAACATTAAGTTTACTGGATGATCTTGGGTCTCTCTCTCTCTCTCTCTGTCTAACCAGTGAGACCACTTGTGTCTCACTGTGAAGATTTACTCTTTCAACCTTTTAAGCTGTCCTGACCTGCTAATTTTTTTTTAAAAATGTTTTTACTTCTGTTTAAATTCCATTGATTCTTTAATATTTGTTCTAAAATGTTTAAATAATTGACCCTTTACAGACTGCCAGAAATTGTGCAAATTGAGGCCACTTTAACTGTCCTGGCTCAGTGTTAGGGAATCATGGGAATTTTATTTTTTTCTGGGACATTGAGCCTTCTCTGCCAGAGAGCTCTGGTCCCACAGTAAACTATAGTTCCCATGATTCCTTAGCACTGAGCCAGGACAGTTAAAGTGGCCTCAATTTGCACTATTTCTGGCAGTCTGTAAAGGCCCATACTTGCATGCTGCCCTGAGTTCCCAAGCTTTAGAGTAGAGCATATATATTTTAATATGAATGAATGAATGAATGAATAAGAGATAATGGAAGGATCATATGAACACAGCTTTGAAGAAGAAAGAGAACAAAAATGAAATAAAGATAAGGATACAACCATCATAGTTGTGAAAATTTATGGTGCTATAGAGCAGAGAAGAGCCAGTGTGCTGCAGTGGTTTGAGCATTGAACTATGACTCTGGAGACCAGGGTTCGAATCCTTACTCGGCCATGAAAACCCACTGGACAGTCTTGAGCAAGTCATTTTCTCTCAGCCTCAGAAGAAGGCAAAGACCATAAATCTTGCAAAGAAAACCCTGTGATAGACTTGCCTTGTTGTGTGCCTAAGTCATTCCCAACTTATGGCGATCCTATAACAGGCTTACCTATCACACAGTTTTCATTGCAATTTTCTTTGGGGGGGTACCATTGCCATCCTCTGAGCTTGAGAGAGTGTGACTTGCCTAAAGTTACCCAGTAGGTTCTTATGGCAGGGCCAGGATTTGAACCTGGTCTCCAGAGTCACAATCCAATGCTCAAACCACTATAATGCGCTGACTCCCAGATTCATTTTTGGGCTGGAAAGGATTTGGAATCAAGGACTGTAAATCAAAACCACAATTCAAAATTGACAAGGAGATTGTCAGGAATCATCCAGCTAACCTCAAGTTTGAATCTGCAGCGTAAGACAAACTGGATTCCAGAGTATTGGAGGAACCTGCTGATGTACTTTCTGAACTACATGTCATCATTTTGGAGAACATTTTGAGAACATATGATGGAGAATGGAGAAGGGCATTATCCCTCTCTTCCACAAGGGCAAAACAGAAGATCTGATGAACTACAAACCAGTTACCTTGACCTCAACAATGAGGAAAATATTACAATGGATTATAAATAAATAAATAAATAAATAAATGTGTTTGTGGGTATCATAGTGCAGTGCCAACATGGGTTTGTCAAGAACAAATCCCACCAAACTAATCTTGTATCTTTTTTTTTTAATTGGGCCATCAGTTTAGTAGATGGAAGGAATGCTGTAGATGTAATTTATCTGAACTTCAGCAAAGCATTTGATAAAGTCCCTATTGATATATTGATTAGCTAACAAATCAAATGTGGAAGAGATGGGAATACGGTTAGATGGATCCATAATGAGTTGGAAATCCATGGTCAAAGAGTTATTGTCAATGGCTGTGCTTCAAACTGGAAGGAATTCTCAAACCAAACTCTTCAATATTTTTATCATTGACTGAAGCTGCATCTGCACTGGAGAACTGATGCAGTTTGACACCACTTTAATTGCCATGGAATTCTGGGATTTGCCATTTTAAAAGGTCTTTAGCCTTTTTTGTCAGAGAGTTCTGGTGTCAAAACAAACTACAAATCCCAGGCTTTCATAGATGGAGCCATGGCAGTTAAAGCAGTGCCAAACTACATTAATTCTGCAGTGTGGCAGCAGTCTGAGACAATGGTGTTGAGGGAATTAATCCTTATCAAGTTTGAAGATGATACAAAACTAGGACAAGTAGCTAACACATTGAAAACAGGAAGTGGGTTAAAAAGGACCTTGATAAACTAGAAAATTGGGCTGAAACCAATAAATTCAACAGCGACAAATACAAAATTCTACTTTTAGGCCATGAACACCAAATGTGTACTTACATGATGGTAGATACTTGGCTTTGCCAGCAGTACATGTGAAAAGGACCTTGGGATTATTAATTGTAAATTGAACATGAGCCAGCAGTGTGATGCTGCATCAAAGAAAACGAAAATATTTAGCCTGCAATAACTGAATATTATGTTGGCATGGAGTAGTGCTCAGTGTGTTGGGCTACAACTCTGGAGACCAGGGTTCAATTCCCAGCTTGGCCATTAAACCCCCCTGGGTAACTTTGGGCAAGTCACACTCTCTCAGCCTCAGGGGAAGGCAATGGCAAACTGAACAAATCTTGCCAAGAAAACCCATGATATTTTCACCTTAGGGCCGCCATAAATTGGAAATGACTTGAAGTCACACAGCAACAACAATAAACTGAATATTCGATGGAACTTCTTGATGGTAAGAGCTGTTCAACAAGGGACCCAGTGGTGGGGTCTCTTTCTCTGGCCATCTTCTAAAAAAGGCTAGACAGCTCTCTGCTGGGGATGCTCTACATGGATTTCCTCCATTGAGCAGGGAGTTGGGGTCAATGGCCATTGGGGATCCCTTCCAACTCTAGGATTGTGTGCCTCTGCACACAGTAACAGAGAACAGGGTACATAGGACCAAAAATAGAAACTAGGTTTTGAACAGGAGAGGGAGCCATTGCACCTGCGATGGGACCTTATGGAAACAAGAGTTACTTTAAAAACAATCCCTCCTCCCACATCCACCCCATCAGAGTTTGATGGAAGGGTTAAAATACTGTGTTTTTAAAGAATTGATTCTGTCTGCATTGCTTTGACTGGGGATGAAAAGGTTTTGCAATTCAGGAGTAGACAAAGTGTTGCCCCGAGACTGCATTATTGTGGTGGCTGTCCAGTTGATTTTTACTTGTGGCAACCCTATGAACGAATGAGTTCCAGGAGACCCCCCTTATGGACAGCCCTGCTCAGGTCTTGCAAACTCAGGGAAGTTGCCAGGTCTTCCTTGATGGAATCAATCTGCCTCTAATGCAGTTTCCCTCTTCTCTCGTATAGCCTTCCACTTTGCAAAGAAAGCATTTCCATCTTTTTCCAACAAGTACTGTCATCTCATGGTATTATTACAGGTCGAGTCTCCCTTATCTCAATCAATCAATCTTTACTGAATAAGTCTTCAGACCATTTCACATATAAACATAATAGTTAA